ACCCCCCCACACTCACTGGCAGGTCCCTCTCCTTGTCCCCTCGCTGTCCCACGGGCTGCTCTCCAGCCTCCAGCACTCGCTGGCAGGTCCTTTCCCCTGCTGTCCCATGGGCAGGCGTGTACAGCAGGGACACCTGGCTCCATCCTGGCCAGGGGCAAAGAGGTGAGGATTGAGTGGGCGCAGGGTGGGAAGGGGCAGCCCCGCTCTGACCAGTCCTCAGCCCCTTACACAGCATCGGTGCCAGCGTGTGGCATGTCCCGTGGCCCCCAGGTGCGACCCTCTCCTTTTCCCTGTCCCAGACCCCCCCTGGCATGAGCCCCTCCGCCGGCGCCTATCTGCAGATGGCCGTGTCCTTCAACTACCGCTGCCTGGCACTCTTCACCGACACCGGCTACATCTGGATGGGGCTGGCCACGCTGAAGGTGAGCATCTCCCTTCCCTCCCCGTCGCGGGGCACTAGGGTGTCAGCCCACCCCTCCTCTCCCTGTCTGGCAGACAGATCTGGCAGGGTGGGGTGTCCACGCAGGGGACGCCCTCGGGGTCCCCAGAGACCCAGGTCTGCAGGTCAGCCTCGCTGCCGCCCGCCCGGGTCTGCACTCCTGTCCTCGGGAGATCCGCCCTCTTTTGTCCTTCGCCTACTCCCCACTTTTTCTATTTCCGAACCTACCTTTTTGCTGGCCTTGCACCTCCCTTTCTCTGTCCAAACCACCCCCCCTGCAGATAAACAGCCCACCACTAATTGCTTTTTCCCCACCGGTCACAGCTCTGTTAAGTCCTTACCCAAGTTTGGTGGTTCTAGTACTGTTTCTTAGGCAGTCTCAGCCTTATCGCCACTGCTGGTGTGGTCGCTTCGGCGTAGGGGCCTTGCTTGCGAGTCTTGATTCTGCCCGGCAAATTCCCCCCCGCTTGTGGGGCTCGTGCTGGTGAGGTGCTGGTTGCCTTCCGTGCTCTCCGAGACCGATCCTGCTCCTTTCGCCTTCGTTCACTTACCGGGTCTCAGTCGAGCACAAGCAGCTTCTTGCTCTACGTGCAGGCAAGCTGTGTGCCGCAGCAATGGAGGAATGTTTCTCACACTCGGCTTAAGTGCTGGCGCAGCGTCCTCGCCCTTCAGCTGTGTGGGCCGCA